CCCCTTCGTGTTGCCTTCGTCCTCCCTACGTACTTTGGTCATTTTCTTGAATTATTTTTTGATATTTTTATTAGGTGCACCTTGATGAGAAGAACACACACCGAAAATTTCAAGTTATTTGGATTTGTATAAAAAAAATTAAAATTTGAACACGAAATGAGGTCGTGACCGTCAGATCGGCCCAGATTCAATCTAAGCCGTTGGGCGTATTTTTACCTGTAAGCCCAACGGCTTATATATATATATGTGTTAGGGGACTTCTACACATGGAGTATTTCTTTAATGTACTTGACATTTTTTACCATTTATTTACCTTGCTTTGTAATAAAAAATTACTCAAGCAAGGGCATTTTTGGCCATTAAAAGGGGTAGAATAGATATTTCTATACAAACTAGTGGTAAATAATGTTGCATGTGAGTGATGTCACACCTTATATGGATGATGTCATTATCCAATCTTGTTGATAAATGCATTTGTTTTATTCAATAATTTCTACTTTATCTTAAATTAATTACCTAAAATACCCTAAACAAAAAACTACTACGTTGTAGAGTAAGGATATCAATTGTCCAAAAATGTTGAGTACATTAAGGAAATACTCCATGCGTAGAAATACCACAAAATAATAAATATATATATATATATCCAAATATGTTGAGTACATTAAGAAAATACTCCATGCGTAGAAATACCACAACATAATAAATATATATATATATATATAGAGAGAGAGAGAGAGAGAGAGAAACACATAGAGATAATTATATAATTATATAATTTATGATGTTTTAATAATAAAAATAACTTCAAAAAAAAACATGTTGGGTCCAAATCAACAACACACATATCCCTACACATGTCTTACAAAATGCACACACATCTTACAAAGTGGAAACATGGGCTTACAAGACAGATTTCGTGTGCCTTGCTCGTTCAACCTGTAGACTAAAGTATCCACAATGCAAACGCGCTGTGTGGCACACTTAGAGAAGCAAAATTTCCAGAAATGCATGTAGAAGTAGCATTGGATTTCTAGTGTCCGTATGCATCTCTTAAGTGTGAACGGGTCACATTCTCCTAAACATGCACGACATGCATGTGGTTGTTATGTAGGTTCTTACCAATGGATGTTAGAGATTAATTGGAGTGAGATCCACAATAAGATTGACCTAGGTAGATTTAGTTTCTTTAACCTCCAACCATGTGTCAATTGGAATGGAAAGAAACTGTAGATTGGAGTAAATACATATCGTAGTTCATCAGATTGTGATATACTTGGCCCACCTGCAAATGGTAATATTGACCTTGGAATATGGATGAACTTGTGTTCGACATAACACCAGAGAAATAGACAACATACAAAAGATGCACATATTCAGTTTTTTTCTTTCGGACGAGGCAACGTGCTCACTATTTCTTCTTTTCTTTGAGAAAAAATATGCCCGTTTCTTATGAAGGTTGTTTTCCAAAACCACAACATGTCCTGCCACCCCCTTCCCTCCACCATCTCCTCAGGCGAATTTTTTTTTCCAAAATTGCTTGGATGCAATCATTAATCAGGATGCAAATCTTGTAATCTTTATATAATACTAAGAAATTATCAAAAAAGGAAATAAAAAACCAATTTGGATGGGAATAATACCAATTTAGTAATTCATCCACATGATTTAAATCTCATACGACTCTGACAATGGCAGAGAGGTTGGAGAAATCAGGTTACATCATTCCAAAAACCATAAATATGCATACAACTTCTGAGATATCTCCATAATGTATCAAATAAATGCAAACTAACAGAAAGGAAGCAAGAAATCAAAACTATAAAGACAGACGACCACAGAAAAAAAAGTTAAAGTACCACTCACAAGAACATGACTGAATTGACATAAACAGAAAAATGCTAAAAACTAAAAACTAACAGAAACACATGCAAAGCCTTGCCCTCTAAGAGATTAAACAAGAAAATCAGATATCCATCTCTCAACCCAGAAAATGTACATGTTGGACTAAGAGAGACTTCCTGAATATAACTTCTTGCTCTCTTATCCCCAATCATGACTGATCAGATGCACAATAATCAATGTGAAATAGGGATTGACAACACTATGCATTAAAAGGTATTCTTATACGTATTTCATCATTCTCAGAATTATCTTTAATTTCATTTTTCTTGAGAAAAAATTTTCCTTGAATGGCAACATATGTTTACAAGAGAATTGCAAGTAGGTTACTACGTGTGATAAATATAAATTATGACAATATAAAAACTAAGTCTACAAAAGCTTAAATTAAAATTTTTATAAGAATACTCTTTTGTTTTGATTATAATTTTCTTTTCTTTTTTATTTTCTCCAAGGGATTCTCTTAAGAAATGTCAAATGAAAAGCCAAAATTTGAGAAATCTCCCATAACGATCAACTCATTTAAGAACTCTTGAGAATGAGAATCCCTGCGGCCATAACAAGAACATGAACAAGCATACGAGACAAGACTCATGCTGGAACATGTATGGGCTACCCTGTGGCCATAACAAGAATACAAACAACTATACGAGACAAGACTGATGCTGGAACAAATATGGACTATGGACTTTAATAACTTAACAGGTACACCATCTGTACAGATGGGGGAGGTCTGGAATGACGAATTTTTGGCTTTATAAACCAGATAACATCCAAACAGAATGCAACAGTTAGCCAACATATTGTTCTAAATCAGCAATAATTTTACTTTAAGTACAAACTACAACTCTATGAAACAGTTATAGAAGCCCCAAGAGAATCACCATGATTCAATTCATAATAAGCTGTATTGTTTCCCAACAATGTATTTAAGTGGAAGACTAATCCATATCACATAAGACAGAGGGAGATCTAGTAAAAAAGAACAATCCACACAGTGCAGTTTTATACTATTTAAAAATACAAATAATTGAAGAGATAAGCTTATACAAATCAGCAACAATTTCTGCATTTTATGTAGCATAAGTGGACATAAGAAAGTTCTAAGAGATTTGACTAACTTTTAGAGACCGCCTGATCTTCTGCCTAACTTCTGGTGATAGTGATGCGTACACACGTTTTGATCTTGTCTTGGCTAATTTGATATCAAGATTGTCAACCTCATCATCTTCCTTGACTTTCAGGGGAGAACTGCACATTGATATGATTAGAATTAGTGCGTAAGAAAACAAGGATTCATGTCAGGACTCGTTAGGGTCCCAAGCCCCAGTCAGGTTTGACAGAATCGGGTGAGTTTGTAAGAATCTCAACCAAGTCCAAATGGAAAACAAAATTAAATTTGGGAACCAGCCAGACACAAGCAATTCCCATACGTTAGGTTCTGGGCTCAGTAGCATGCCGAGCCCAAGTGACTCAGGTCAGTCCTCTCAAACTCGCCCAAGTCTTCAATCGCCGATTAGAGTTCAAAAAGACAATTCCTATTTCGGACCATGATTAAAAATAATAAGAATAAAAAAAAAGGCTATAGATATACTGTTTGCAAATAAAAAAATAAAGAATATCAGATGATTAAAAAAATAAGAATAAAAAAAAAGGCACTAGATATATTGTTTGCAAATAAAAAAACACAGAATATCAAATCAGAATTTTGGTGAAACCAAACCTGGAACGTGCTTTTTCCCATGGTACCTCATCAATTGACTCTTCCCATATCACACGGTCCCCAGAGCAGTGCAGGCATGTTCTCATTCCCTGTTTTCATTGGATTTTGGTAAGTAGAAACAGACGTAATAGTTATAAAGTATAAATGTAAGCACCTGTTAGAAATAAGGTGCATCACTTTATCCAATTTGTGAAGTCTTAAACACACCAATGTGCTGCTATCTAGGATGTACTTATAAGTATGCAACTTGGGTAACTTCATATTCAGTGTGGACATCATTTCAATCTTGATTCATATATTAGCAGATATTAGTTCTGAAAATTGTATTTTATGAAAAACTAAGGAAATAGAAAGAAAATGGAAAAAGAAAAAAGGAATTAGACTAACATTTTTTCCTTTGGTTCTAGCCACAAACACAAGAAGTTTCTTTGGCAATAAATTCTGAAGTCTGTTCAGAGGAGATGGATTTTAAGATTGGTCCATGACACTCAAAATCTGATAGAGGATATCTAATTTTAAAATCCATTTAAATCCAATATTTCTTAAGCAGACATTGTTATTTATTAGAAAGAATTTAAAGCATTTGAATATAGAAAGAATTATTCAAAAACAGATATATAGAAAGGATTAAAAGCATAGTATACCTTGCCATTGCACTGTGAGCAACCCAACCTAGACCGGTCGATTCCACAAGCTGAACATGGTGTATAACCCCTACCCCTACAGTTAGGGCAGGGCAATTCCCTCACATATTGTCCGTTGGGTCCAAACCAGGACCTTGGTTCAGGTGTAATGAGGGTAATACTCCTAAAATGACAGTCAGAACAATTGTGAATAGACAAAAAATGCCTCATATCCTACATAAGCATTTAGAACTATATGTTAAGCATAAATTGCCAAAAGGAACGGTTTTTTCATCATAAATTTTAACCAGAAATCACCTCAATTGAGAAAAAGAGTTCAATTAAATATTAGAAAGTGGCTACCAAATTTGACAATAGTTAAGATTTGCAAGTAATATTAAACCCACAAAAGGTAAAATAGAAGTATGGGGTGTATGAAGCACTGTCGTGCATTATAATGAGGAAAGCCAAGAAACTCATGATAGATTAGTGATATCTTTTCTGTGTTCTTTTTTTTTTTCTTTCTTCTTCGTCTGTTTTTCTTTTTTTTTTTTCTTGAGAAATACATTAGTGATGTCAATTGTTAAAAATTCACCTTTAGCTGACATGTATAATTTGTACTTCACTGAAACATGAGCATGACTTAATTTCTTGGGATTTAAATGAATTTTCTACTGAGAGGACAATAGAAGTTAAACCTGGCTGGTGGATCTCCTTCAAGCCCAAGAAGGTCCTCAGATGGATTATAGTCAAGCTGCAAACCCATGGTAAAAAATATAAGAGGGCATAAGTACTAAAACCTCCAACTGATTTAACAAATTAGTACAGCTCAAAAGTCCATCTCGACCAGAGTATTGTTGCAAATGATGACAGTATTCTTGTACAAAATGTAAGTTTTGTTTATGAGTATTTATTTTGATAGTTGAGTTCTATGTATGAGTAGGTACGCACAATTAAACCAATAATTATAAAAATATAAAAAATGCCTAGCACCCATTGACATATGAGTACAAATAATTCCTGAAGGGATGCTTCAGCAATTTGATAAAATCCAACTGTCAAGATACATGTAAATGTATAAGTAGGAGGATGCATCTAATGGACAGTAACCCACAGTCCAATGGACTACCGAAAACCTTAGCCCATTGAGCTCCCATCCATCAGTCAAAACCCCAATGTACAATGGGCTGTCACAGGCCATAGGACCATAGTATACTTTCCTTTCATTTAATCCGGACAGTTAACACTCATAAATTCATCAAATAATATTCTAGTAACATCAATTTATCACAATTTTTTAGGCTTCCCATTATTATCCCAATAATAACACGTGTGCAATCTAAAAGCAAAATTATTAATTTGAATTTGAAAAGAAACATGTTACTTACCTAATATGGCTCTAAAATCTCAATAATTTGAACAGTTATAGAAACTGTACATTCATGTATAACTGTGAATTTATACATGAATTTACAGTTTCTATAACTGTGAACAGTTATGGATGAATTCACAGTTTCTATAACTGTTCACAAATAAGACAAATGTGAAGCAATAAGCGAGGAATTCATGATCGATAGTAAGTCAAAGATATTAAGATGGATAGTAACTTTTTGATATTTTTATTTAGATATACATTATAAATTATTGTCAGCTTTGTTCAAAAAGAAAATAAACAAACAACTTATTGTGAACTGAATTTATCAATTTAAAAATTTTAACATATCTATATTCTTTATTTTGTATCATTTAAATTCATAATTACTAACCTTAATAAATATTCACTCCATGATAAATAGGATGAAGTTTTGGTGCCTCAGTCCCTTAGCTAACACACCTGCTTAGCTAACACACCTGCTTATATCTGTCCCCTTCCAAAATCCTTCTCACATATGGATTTAGGTTCAAAAACTTCAGGGGATAATCTCACCACCAAATAATATTTGAAAGCGATATATTTTGACCTTTTTCTTGCACTGTTCAGTTTACTCTGATCTAAGATGGATATGTATTTTCAATGATTTAGGACAATCAAGGTGGACTCATGAGTTCAAAGATGCATATAGACTGTTCCTAACAATTTAGATATTTTATATACTAATTTAGTACTTTAAATTCCTGGTATTTATTCAATAAGTACCCAATAAGAAGAACAACACCAAGCCAGGCTAGTTTGTTTGCACTATTTCAGACAAACTTCAATGGTTCAAACCGATGACCTCCCTCATCCAAACCGATATATTTATACCAGGCAAAAACCTAATGGACAAAGGATAAAGACAACAATATATGGGTTAAACTACCCACCAATATGTTGAAAATATGGCCTATCAGGTCCTTTTATCAAGGGAATTTATTTTTCAATAATGGTACAAAAGTCATATTGAATAGTATATGTGAAATCCCATGTGGTTGACACGAATTACTAGAATCCACTAGAGGAAAAATCTAGTGTCACTAGAGGGAAAACCAAGTGACGTGTTTGGATTCTTTGTAAAAATTATTATTTTTTTATTATAGCTGAACAAAATTATTTAATTTCTAAATATCTTTTATCAAGTTGTAGAAATGCTTGGATGACATCCTATTATGAGAGTCATTAGCGCACTAATGACATGTTTAACTCATTGCATAGGATTAACAGTTTGGTGACAACTTGTTAATCCTAATTGGCTGCACTTAAGAAATTAAGGCAAGAGTTATACTTGGATCTCAACTCCTATAGACCATGTGAGAGTTACAAAATATGATTATCTATAAAAAGTGGTTAACCCCTCTAGAAAAGAAAGAGAATGATAGAAAAAATGTGAAGAGATTCACCAAGAGGACTCTTAAGGTAGCATGTCACCGGATGGCTTGATCTATAGGTTTTGGTATGAAACCTTAAGTCCCTCGTGTGATTTAAGGACAGATCCGAGTAAGTTATTTATTTATTTTATTAATTTTTATTATTGGGACTAACATAATATCATCTGGATAGTAATAATTCTCACTACACAACACCATAAAAAATTTGTTGTTAGAAAAAGCTTGTAATTCTTCTTTGTCAAAAAAAAAAAACTTGTAATTCTTAGACAGGGAAAATGGAAACTAAGACTAAAAAATAGTATATGAAAACACTGGAAAGAGTGAGCACAAAAATTAATCCCAAAAAGTACATGCTAATAGCATTTATACATAGAAAGGTGTGTAACTTAACAAGATCCATATTCATTTTGGGGTTATTTCAAATGCTGCATTCTATTGCTAAGATTTCACATATAAAAAAGGATGGGTTTCTATGAGTCAGCCGACTCATACTGTACATAGACGGGCTCCCACTTAACCATATCCTAAAAATGGATTTTTAATCCAAAATTTTAGAGATCCATGATCTAGGTTGGTGATGAATATGAAAATAAAATAAAATTTTCAATATTTAAAATGTGTTTTTTTAAAATAAAATTTCTACACCATCTAAATTCATTTTAGCCTTTTTTACAACATCCATCTTAGAGATGGACGTAATAATAACTTTTCTTATAAAAAATCATCAATATATCAAGTTTCTTATTCAGAAATCAAATGCATACAAAACAATTTAACCAATATATCAACCTTCTTATACAAGAATCACATGCATGTAGACATAGTTCACAGCGAGTGTCAGAATCTCGGCTCCGGCTTGGGAGTCTGTCCCTGCCCGCTCCGAGTGACTCAGGTGAATCAGAGTGGACTCGCCTGAGTAGTGTAGGAGCCCTAAAAATGCTAATTAAAATAAAAATTTGCTAAAGTAATAATTAGGGGAAAAAAAAGCAAGTGTAATTATAAAAAAATTTAAAAGCTTAAAAAAAAAAAAAAAAGGGAAAAAACTCTATAGAAGATGGAATTTCAAAAAAAAAAGAAAGAAAAGAGATACACATGAGAGAGATAGTGAGAGGGAGAAAGACATCATCCCACAATTACCCCTACATTCAGAGAAACTCAGGCAAAAATGAGAGAGAGAGTATTCACAAGTTTACTGCATGTCATTCCTACGGAGGGAGCAGAAAGGAAACCACGGTACCTGGTTTTTCTTTGGCAAAAAAACCGAGCCATCGTTAAGTGGGGAGGGGTTGCACCAAGAGATTATGCCCATTCTTCTGTTACAAGCCCTTAAGAAAACCCAAAATTTATCTCTCTTCAACTTCCTCTGATGAACCCATGTCCATAAATTAAGAGTAATCGAGCGAGGGACGGAAATAACCAGAGCTGAAGCCATGAATTGACCGGTTCCTATAAATAAGAAGTCGTGGACTGATTATTAGAGACAGAAAATAAATGGAGAGAGAGAGATTGTTATGTTACAGAGAGCGACATGGGGTTCTCAGACCAAGAGAGAGAATATTGGTTGGGTTTGAGAGGAGAGAGAAAATGAAATGTTAGAGAGAGGTTTCAAGAAGGGAGTATGTGGCTCTGCAGGGCGACACGACTGCCATTCTCTCATCTTCGTGTATAAATGGGTCTTTGGGCCCACAAAATTTCTCTCTCTAGGCTCGCCTGGTTGGATAAGGAGAATTTAGTGAGAGAAACACTGCATAAGTATGCCTAGAGAGAGAAACAAATAGCTTCTCACTCTCCACCTGATTGGCTAGTCGAGGCGGGAGGCGCGCATAATCTCTCTCCCTCTGGATGGATAACTCAGATTTAGTGAGAGAAAAGAAACACTGTAATAACATGTAAATAGAGAGAAAAACAATGCTAGAGAGAGAAACATTCTCTCCATTGATGGCTTTTTGGATAAAATGAGCGGGAAGACTCTGTACGGGCTCTTCGCTCTTTATGAAAATGGAAAATCTCTCTCTAAATTACACAAGAGGGAAAGCATGCTACGTTCTCCCTACAACATAGAATTTAATTGAGGTTAAGATTGCCTCAATCACAATATCACATCTTATACTATTTTTTTTTTAAATATAAATTATTTTGACATCCAATTTTGCACCTCCATTCCACTATTAAACTCGCACTATAGAAAAGTAAAAAAAAATATATTTTTAATAAAATAAATAACCAAAATACTTTTGAAAGTTTTAAGAGAAATTTTGATTATTGTTTTTTTATCGAAAAATTATTGTTAATATTTTTTATAGGTGTGTCCCAATGAGAAGATGGTACGTACCGAATTTCATATTCATACAATTTGTATTAAAAAAATAAAATACTTTGAGACGTTGTATCTAAGATCAAATGGTAAGTAGCTCTCTTAATAAAATATGGACGGCTGAATGGTAAGGGGAAGATAAAACTTCTATATTGTAGGGGGAACATACAAAGCTTTCCCTAAATAATAATATCTCTCCAAAAAGACACTAAAAAATCTCTCAACATTTATTTTTATTTTTTTTAGAGTACAAATTGAGCCTAGATTCCGGGTTGTAATTCAGCAAGCCTTTACCAATTAAGCCCGGGCTCTCTATAAATCTCTTGCTCTAGCACCCCAAGACTCTCTTCCTCTAAGCTGAAAAATCTCTCAAAACCTCAATCTAGGGGTGCCAATGGGCTGGGCCAGCTTTGCCCGGTCGAATCCAGTCCGATTGGCCCAACCCTAAAAAATAGAGTCTATGACCATAGTACCACAAATACCAGCCTACCACAAATACCAGCCTAATTCGACTCAACCTAGTTTTCTTTTTTTTTCTTACTTTTTATTTGTGTTTGGCCAAGCACGGCCCTATAAAAACAAAGGTCAAGCCAGGGCCAAAGCTAGCCCTGACCAAGCCCTGCCTATTGCCACCCTTATCTCTCTCTCGAATGAACCGCACATTCGAGTTAAAACTTTCTCTCTCTAAACCACCGTTAGAAAAGTTATCTCTTTATTGCAAAATCTCTCTATCATTTCATATGGTCTCATGGGGGAGTAATAAAAGTGGTAATATTTGTCAAAAAAAATTAAAAAATTAAAAAAAAAACAATAAAACATGTTTAATTCATGATATATGAATGGAGTACATAGACCACAACTTTTGGGAATCAAAGGTGGGGAAGCGTCCGATATTTCTTCTTCACTCATTAATTTAGGCACAAAAACAACGAGCCCTTTGTTTTTTTGTGGATCATTGTATATAGTGAAAAATAAACAATAACTCGTTTTGGTGGGTGTTTTCTTGTGGACGATGCTTATATGGTGAATAAATATATTTTATGCCTAAAATTTTACAATTTTTTTTTTGTAAAAGTACAAATTAAATATTATTTTACGCAACATCATGAAAAAATCACATCTGTCGATTCAGATCAAACGGATGGAACAGGAGTCACATATAATTTACACGTGGCAGCCGACTCCCAGTCCAATAACTAGTTTGGATCCAACCCATTTTCAATTCCGATTGGTGATCCAGTTCGAGAACCACGAGGTTTTAAATCACTATATGCTTTAAAACACCAGCAATTATTCAAGACCCATATTGGTTGGGTAGATAATCCACCCTACAGAAATGTGTCGGAACTTTAGGGAAAAAAACATTGGTTTTAGCTGCATTAATATCCTAAAAAAAAACAATAAACTTTAACGATCATATGGATACATAGATTGATCATATATTACAATATAATACATATGCTTACTTAAAAAATGTAAATATATCGAATATAGTCAACTCTAAAATCACAAAAAAGAAAACAGTTGACTTAATAGATAACAATGATGAAAATAACCAAAAAAAAAAAAAAACATAGGCTCTAGTCTACAATAAAAACAAGTTGACTTTATGGATCACAGGATTACATACAGTACCATCCCATAGTGTAGCAGACATGCTTAGTTAAAATCCATAAAATGTCAAAAAACATCAAATCTAGTCTACTTAAAAAACCCTAATAAAGGTCCCCAAAAAAACTGGTAGTCTTTATGTATCACATTAACACATTGGTCTTCCTGAAAATTTAATAAATATGAGCAATTAGAGTCAGGAAAATCTCAATGCATCTAATCTAATCTACAATAAAATCTCTAAAGCAAGTGGTTTTCATGGATCACATGAATGCATGTACTGGTCATCCTAAAATTTAATAGATATGCTAACTAATTTTCAAAATATCTAAAAATATTGAATACAGTATGCATTAGAAGTCCCAAAAAGCAAGCTATCTTTGTGAATCACTTGATTACATAGTCAAACTAGCATTCAATAAATATGCCTTGCTAAAAATCTAATAAAATATTGACTTTTAATGCAAACATAACATTTCCTCAAAAAAGCATGGAACATAAGCTACAATAAGAAGTTATTTGTTTTTTTTCTATTGTAAACAATCTACATTATTGAATGTGTGAACTCAATAATATTTTTATATTTATTCAACCCAATATTTTTTGTTGGAGAGAGTCAGGTCGTAAACATGGATCAACAACATCACGTCTCATAAATTCTTACAAGCCACATGATCATTATCATTGTAAGTAACACATATCATCATCCAACTTGAATAAACAATTGAGGATGCTATACTTCAAACTTTAAATAAGCAAGTCATGATTCATTCTGTAAAAAAATTTGACAGACCCCCAAATCAGGTTTGTCAAGACTCGTACCATAAAAAAAACCCCAAACAAAATCCTGATTCATTTTGTGAAATGGTTTTGAGCTCATGAAATTTTTTATACCATAAACAAGCATCACTCATCCAAAAAACCCAAAAAAACATATCTATGCTTATAGTTTTGTTGTTTTGTGTAATAAATTCAAGCACTAAAAAACCGATACCCCAAATGTGGCCAAAAATTATGTGAGATACCAATTTCTAAATAAATTTCTACGCTTATAATTTTGTTGTTTTGCGTAAGACATTCAAGCACTGAAAAATTAAAACCTCCAAATGTGGCCCAAAATTCTGTGAGATACCAATTTCTAAAAATAATTATATGATCATAGTTTTGTTGGTTTGTATACGACATTCAACCACTGAAAAACCAAACCCCCCCAAATGTGACCAAAATTTTTGTGATTGATTAATTTGTACAGATCATAAGCAAGCATCACTCAGCCATAAACAAGCATCACTAAAATGGCACCACTCATCCATAAGACAGCATCAATAAAATGACATCACTTATCCATAAGCAACCATGGTAAAATGGCATCCATAAGAAACATCAGCAAAACTGTAAACTGGCCGTGGTAAAATGGGATCCATAAGAAGCATAAGTAAAATGACATCCATACCTGAAATGGCGTGCTTCAGATTTCACAGAGAGGGGCGTGCTTCCAATGAGAGAGAGAGGGGGGCGGGCGTGCTTCAGAATCACAGAGAGGGGTGCGATGAGAGAGATAGAGGCGCGTACTTAAACTAGAGAGAGAGAGAGAGACCGTTTTGAGTGTAGTTGGTGGCTCTGAGTAAGAAGTTTGTCTTGGGGCAAGCTGCAGGGAAAGTTAGAGAGAGAGATAGGGCACAGAGGGCAGAGACGGGGCTAGCTTGCTTCAAGTTCACACAGAGGGGCGGGGGCGCGATGAGAGAGAGAGGCGTGTGCTTCAACGAGAGACAGAGAGACCATTTTGAGTGTAGTTGGTGGGGGCAAGCTGCAGAAGATGCTATCGAGGAGAGAGAAGCTTTTTGAAGTGGACCGTCCATTTGAGGGGCGCGATCAGAACCGTTGGCGTAAATCGCCCATTCTAACTGGTAACCGCCTGCTTCAATCGCTTAACTCGAAGCCCGCCACTGGCTTTTGATGATCGTCCAGGCATTTAAAAATACAATTTAAAAAATTTATACAAATTTAAAAAATAAGGGATTTTGTTTGTAATGTATTTTTAATATTTATCATCATTATAACAAATATTATAAATTGTTTTGGCTATTAATATTTATTTTTACATTTTGCCATATTTTAAAAAAATTAAAAAATACCTTTGAGCCCAAATCGATAATTTAAAATTCGTTTTTTTTTCATTAATTTTCAACTTCATTTGGATGTGCTTTGTTAAATCATTATTTAAATATATTTTTCATATTTTAGTATATTTTTATTTTTTTGTAACACTCTTTTGACCGCCTTGGGACTTGCCTGGTTATAATGGTTGGACCAGCCGGTTTACCGATTAGGCCGGTTGAACCGCTTCCAAGCCCATGTCCATTAACCATTCCGATATTATTTTTCCAACAATGATATATAGGAGAATCTAAGGTCGGACCACTTGCTGCGAGCTATAGTAAACGCTCAATGGTCCTTTTGAATTTTAGTTTATCAAATGATTGTAATTACAATTCGTATTTGAATTTTAATTTTTTTACAAATTTAAATCACTTGAAATTTGGAGTGTATACCTCTTCCAAGCCCATGTCCATTAACCATTCCAATTTTATTTTTTCAACAATGATATATAGGAGAATCTAAGGTCGGACCACTTGCTGCGAGCTATAGTAAACGCCCAACAGTCCTATTGAATTTTAGTCGATCGAATGATTGTAATTACAAGTCATATTTGAATTTTAATTTTTTTACAAATTTAAATCACTTGAAATTTGGAGTGTATATTGTTTAAAAATAGGATAATCAAATAAAATATCAAAAAAATAATTCATTAAAAATAAATTAACCAAAATACCTCTGAAAAAATTAGAAGTATTTTGGTCAATTTATATTTTAATATTATTTTAATTTTTTATGAAAAAAGTTAATATAGTGCTAAGATTCTAAACAATCAAATTAGAGCCCACCTAAAAAATTTAACTATAAGATGTTGTTTTGATGCCTAAATATCATCAAATTTATCATCTCGATATCAAGATGCATGGGCATAAAAAAAAAAAATAGATTTCAAGTTTTGGAAATAGTATATCTTGTAACGCGTTTTGTGATCGTCAATTTTCAAGTTTTCATATATTTGCTTAATCTACACTATTTTTTAAGCTTTGAAATTTATAATTAAAGATAAAAATGTATTTTAAGGCCATCACAAAAATTTCCAGTATTGAAACCACATTCTCGCCACTATTTAAAGGTGTGCTTTACTTTGATTGTTTAGAGCCTCGGTTCTAGACAAACCCATCCTATTTTTTTTAAGGTGCGTATTGATGAGAAGAGTGGAACGTCCCAAATTTAATGTGATTTGAATTTATAAAAAAATTATTAAAATTACATTATAAAATATAGTTGTGACCACCAGATCAGTCAAGATTCAATTTAGGCTGTTAGACTTACATTATTTCATAAGCCTATAGGTTGATAATATTTTTTCCATTTATATATATACATATATATATGAGTAATGATCCTATAGGACTTTCCCCCATTTATGTGTGTAGGACCCCAAATAATCACTATTAAAGTTGATACGGATCTTTATAAAAGTTATCACATGGATATAAGACTTGGTTTTTCTATAGATCCGTGCCAAATTTAATGGTGATCATTTGAGGTCCTATACACATAAGTTGGAGAGGGTCTTATAGGATCATTTTTTTTTTTCTCTCTATATATATAGAGTAATGATCCAATGAGACCCTTCCATACCCATATGTGTAGGACTTCAAATGATCACTATTAAATTTGGCACAGATCTTTAAAAAAGTTATCACATAAGTGTGAGACTTGACTTTTCTAAAAATATGTGTCAAATTTAATGATAATCTTTTGAGATCCTACACATAGGTGTCGGAAGGTCTCATAGGATCATTACTTTTTATATATATATATATATATATATATTTGAAACTTGTTTAATGTCTTGTTAAGCCTGCTGTCTACTCCAAATCCCTATCCTATAAACTCTATTTTTAATTTTTATTTTGGTTTATTTATTTTTTAACAATTTTTAGATCATTGATTTAAGTTGATTCAAACCTGATTTGGATCATCGATCTAACGATTCGACACACAAATTTGAAGGTGAACAATCAACTCCACCAATCAAGATTTTGAAACACTAAAAATTTACATACTGCTCTTTTCCCTCCCTCTACTGCGACTCTGACAAGTGGAGTACGTATCACCAATGCTGTGAAAAAATGGAGGCTCCAAACCTTCAAATTTTAAATTTCCAGTGCCCCTTTTCACGATTTTGTGTAAAGAAAAGGCGCGGGAAAGGCAATATTTTTCCATCTGAGTCTTATCCAACAATGACAACAAGACCCTCACCTTCCAAATAGCCAAATAGCAATAACAGTCGTATAGAACTTCTTAGGCATTTAGGAAAAGTAAAGGGTTTCTCACATTTTTATGCCCCTATATCTTTCTCACTCCTCAGGACCACTCTACTCCAAAAGTTGAACTTTCTTACTAAAGCGGAGTATCTACTCTCTCTCTCTTGTCTTATTCCCGCCACTCTGTTGATTCTCATTTCCTCTCTCTCTCTCTCAAGAGTTAGGTCATATTCATCTTTTCATTTTCTTAGACCTTGATCCCCATTTATCTGATCAGTCATGGAGGATGATAGGACCTGTCTAAAATGTGAATTGCACTGTCACAAACAAGACCCCTTTCAAGAGTGCAGAACTAGGCCTCATTTTCTAGTAGCTTTGGTGGGTAACTTCTCAAATGTGCTGGTAAGCTTTTCTCTCTCATTCAAGAAATACCCCCCATAGTTTTTCTTCCTTGTGTGATAAAATTTTCAGTCAGGGTTGCTATGGTGTATATGAATTAGTCCATCTCATTCATCCAAGAAATACCCATTTTTCCCTATATCAACTAGTCCATCTTACTCATCTGAGAAATACCTATTTTTCTAATAACTTTTTTTTCGCTGTTATAAATTTAGAGTACATGGTTCCATCTTAGAGAAAAAGAAGGTATTGGTCATGGTTGATATGCTGCACGTTTATTAATATTTCTCACTCATCTCACTCTCCCCGGCAATACCCATTTTAACTTTTTGATCAGTGTTTTGAATTTGGAATAACTGGTTTCATCTATTAAAGGGAAAAATAGAGTTTTAGTGTATGGTATATATTTATCTGACTTTCTAACTCATCCAAGCACTACCTATTTGTTTATTATATGGTTTTTCATTCACAAAGGGGAATTCAAAGGAAAGGTTTTTTGAGTAATTTTTTTTGACGCATTTTCATTCACAGTGAAAAAGGGCGACCGTTTTTATCTATCAATAGAAAGAAAAGTCTGAGTATGGTAACTGGTAAAAAAAAAAGTCTGAGTACGGTACGGTGCAATTTTTTTGGCATATTTCATCTCCCAAGCAATATACATTGTTCTTTTACAATTTGTCAGTCACCAACTGAGGTTTTGGCTTAAATGGTTTCATTTCTGAGATTTTAGAGATGTGTGTGCGCTTGTGTGTGTGTGTGTGGGTGTGTCCAAGCATGCGTGTATGCATGTGTGCTTGTGTGTATGTGTTCAAGCATTAATAATTCAGGTATGTCTTTTGTCATTGTGTAAAATTATCTCATGCCATTTCTTCTTTAGATTTTCCTAGATACAAAGTTTAACTTCCTATAACAGTACAAAGCCATTTTTAGTTTACTATGTTTTCCTTTGGATGAATGTGTATTGTCTCCATCTTTGTTATTAGTATTTAAATTCCAAAATTTTTGAGCTAATGGGTACTCATTATTTATCTATTAACTCAACATGATTATAATCAGGGCCATTTCCACTCTAGGCCAATAGCATGTATTTAAGACCACATTCTATCAAGTATAGGGATCATCGGAGGCATTTCCCTAAAAAATCATCTATATGCTATAGTGAAGCAACTGTCAAACTCATGAAGAAATTGTAAAATTGGTTCCTTTTGTGGTGGATGCAAGAATTTCATTTTGGGATATATCTCTACCGAACACATAGCTTGAAACATTGACCCTTTAATATGCAAGAATCAATGAGCCAGTGATCATTTCAAACATCGTTGCTTGGATAGTTATCTGACCTATATGCTTAATTTGGAAGAACAAGATAAATTGACCTATATGCTTAATTTGGAAGAGCAAGATAAATTGACCTATGTGCTTAATTTGGAAGAACAAGATAAATTGACCTATTTGTTAGCTTTGCACCGACTTATTTACTTAACCATTTGAAGGTCATCCAGCATATGTGCTGATCAATGCTTTGGATTTGGGATACAAGTTTAAAAGATGCTTATACAAGTTGGAAAAAATTGACACGATTTCTATTGTTCTATTGGGATTGTTAGTGAAAATGAAATTTGGCATTCAATTACAAGTTTGTAACAATCTTTACTGTATTTGAATTTGATAACTGTATAGTGCTTATTTAGTTCTTAATTTGTTACCATTTTTGCCATATCTACTTCACTGAGCCCATCTGGAAGTGAAAGAAAACAACTCTCATTTTTCAACTCTATTGTTATTGTGATATGATGGGTTAACATTTTGATACATTTTTGCAATGTATTTTGTAATTTTTTTTTAGCAATTTATAATGGAGTGTGTATAGCATAGTGTTTTAGAAACTGATAGTTTAGATTGGGAATTGTTGATTCTGACTGTGAATTGGTTGGACTGACTTGGTTCCTTGTCAGACCACATTGGTTTGGTTCCCTTGGAGTCTCCCAGTTTCGTTTGGGAATTGGGTGCATCTGTTAGGGAACCTTGCGATTAGACTGGTCTGATTGTTAGGTTCGCACACTTTTCTTATTTATTTAATTATTATTTTCCCTTTTTTTTTGTGTTTTTTGTTTTTTTTCATTTTCTCGTTTTAGTTTTTGTGATTGATCTGTACACTAGAGAATTGGTATGAGTCGCCGATCTGGATTGGTGATTTGTTGTTGCAGACCAGATTTTCAGATGTACGGTTCACCTTGTTGATCCAGGTTTTAAACAACTGGTATAGCATGCTCTTACTAGAGCACACTGTACAATTACTTTCTTGGGCTAAAGAGCTACTTAGGAGGACTTTTTTGACCTAAAATTTTTGGCATCCTTTTTAGAGTCGTTGCAAATATTTCAATAAAAGATTTTGATTTCCTAAACATTTGGATTTGGCTGTGCCAATCTTGGACTTTCTTTGTTCCATTGAAGGGCATTTTTTCTTTTCAGGCACATAAAGAGTGTGTTTTAATTTCTCTGAGGTTAGTTACCGAAAAGCAATCAAACTTTCCAAATTTAGTAAATAATGCTGGTTTTTTCTTGTGTTGCTGTGCATAGATTTTGCAAGGTAAGTCTTTATTGCATTGGACTGTATTCAGTGACCAAGTTACAAGCAACAAATGGATTCCCTTGTCCACAGTTAGAATTTATTCATTAGGTGAAGTATGCTATATAACTTATATTCCCATGGACTTTGATAATTGCCTTCCATGGTGGTTGTGATAGTTCCATGAATAGGTGAATGATGATGGAAATTGACGCCCACTGTTGGGGTTGTATGGTGATATGGTTCGTCCCCCCCTTCTCTCTTTAGTCCTATTCAACATTTGTTTGGAAATTTATTACACAATAAACTATCCTTTTATGTAAGGATTATATTATACTTCCCCATTTGTAATTCTTGTTTATATGAGGATGGACTTACAATTTAATTCAGTTATTGGGGTTTGCGTTATATTGTGTTGTTGTTGCCAAGCTACAAAGATTGATTCTAATGTAATTGTAGGCTTTGCCACTGGAGTTGAATGCACATATCAAAGAAGAAATATCTGAAAATGCAATTTTGGTGAGTCCTAGTGGCAAAATTTGGCTTGTGGGTTTGAACAAAACAAAAGATTGTGCCTTTTTACAAAAGGGATGGAGTGATTTTGTCAAAGGTCACTCCTTGGAGAAGGGAGAACATTTAGTCTTGAGATATGATGGTGGTTTGCGGTTTGCCGTAAAAATTTTTGATACCAATGGGTGCCATAGAGGGGAGGCGGTGCATAAGGCAATTGAACAGTCTATTAATGTTTCTGAAAGTAAGAGTCGTAAAATTCTCTCTACAATGAAATGCCTTGTAAAAAGGAAGTCTTCTCCAAATGAAGAGGAGGAGCAAGAGCAGGGGATAGATACTTGTATAGAGGGCAAGATCAATGCCTGTGAAGAGTCGTCCAAAGAGAATCACCATGAAGAAAACACGTTGATGATTTCTCACTCTTCGTTGCACAAAATATCTTGCCAAGATACCGATGCTCAAAATAGAAGTATTATTTTATCAGGTAATCCCTTGTAGTACTATTTTCAGTTACTTCTTTCATATGCAATGAACAAAAATTCGGCTGCCTTGTCGCCTAGGCAGCCTGGCCGACAAACCGTTGAGGTGTAGGCTAGCATGTCTGAGGTGGGTACGTCTAGGTGCCTACCTAGTGCCATCTGTTAAAAAATAAAATACAAGGTCAAATCCATCCATACAAGAATAAGGCCTCCAAGTGCTACCCCACTCTCTCTCTCTCTCTCTTGTCCATGTGTTACCTCTACTTATGAGAAGAAGAAGATGGACTCAAGTGTGCGATGCACGGCCTCTCTCTCTCTCTTTCTCTTATACAAACATGAAGATACACATGGACCCATATGCTCCCTCTTTACATGAAAGAAGAAGAAAAAGAAGAAGAAGATCTCCAAGTGTTTGATGTGAGATGCCTCTCTCTCACAGACTCTCTCTCTCTTGGCATATCCTTCAAGTGTTTGAGACCTCTCTCTCACAAATACAGATCCAAAAGAAAAAATAAAGAAGAAAAAGAGGATGATCTTAAAGAATTTTATGCAAAACCTCATGCACACATACATGTGTATGCACATACACACACTAAACACACATTCACAAAACACACTCACAAAACAACATGTAGCCCCCACCCCAACCCCCTTCCTTTAGGGCCACCCAAGCATCTAGGTGCCTAGGCACATCCTCCTTCTTGAGCAATTGTTCGTATGAATAGCTTATAAATGTCCAGATTTGGCAAATTTCATTGGAAAATGGTTGCAGATAAAGAAGTAGTGCCTTCACGTACCAACTATTATACTCCAAAGAAAAAATATTATACTCCAAAGAAAAAAGAACGGATGACAAAGGTAGGGAGTGATACTTCCAAAAATAGGTATTTTCTGTCTAATCGAAGAATGGTGACACAAGATGAAAGGGAGCGAGCAGTTAAAGCAGCCAACTTGTTTGAATCGAGCAGTCCATACTTCATAATGGTTATGAAGACCTCTCATGTCTATAAAGGATTTCTCCTGGTAAGAGTCCAATATCCAACCCATTATGAGATTATTGGCATATCTAGAAACATTATCAGTAGTGTTTACTTATGTAATGAGATGGATCCGAAAGTTATGCGGAGCTTACATGCATGATGTTCTTCCAATTGTTTTTATAAATTGATTCATGTGTTCACAGATAAGACTTCAATTGCATTGTTGCTTAGTTGATCATTTTGTATAATTTGTCCTCCCTATGGTGGAGTCAAAAGTTCTATGTGTGCATGTGCATGCCTTTTTGTGCATGTGCAGCATGTGTATGCATTTATATACAGAGTGAGAATTCTAAGTGAGAGGAAATTGGGGGACTGGGAGCCCCTGTTTTTATCTATAGTTTTGTGTGTGATCTTTTGCATCCAAACAAATGGGCAGCATATATCGCTGCAGCCCTATCTCAGCAATTAAGGCTGAAGCTTTATCAAAACTATGTTGCTATAATTTTCATATTCTACTTCTTTATTTGTTTTCCACTGGTAAAAGGTTCAAGCATGACAGAGTACTTTGCAGAAAGAAATTGTTGTGTAAGGGCTGGTGTCGGTGTGTTCCTTTTTTAATTAGTCTAGTTTTTATGCTGTGCTTGCTTGAAATAGGAAAAGGTGCTTGCTTTGCTCCAGCATTCATGAGTAAATCCTCTGCTTACTTGAATGCCATTTTCCCCTGCCTGCCTGTCTGCTTGGAATAGAAAGCATCTCCTTTTTCTCACATACAATTACCCCAGCCATCAATAGAGTTATGCGATGCTTCCAAACTGGCCCCAGAATTGATATCAAAATTTCCTTCACTCGAGCTTGTTGCTGATTGTAAGCCTTTGACTAATCTTCATCTTGCACTGTGATTTCATTCCATTTTTTTTTTTCCGGGAAAAATGTTTATTTAAGGGTGAGGTTCTCAACAAGAAAATGAAGGCACACCCCAAAAATTCACTAGAAGAGGTTGTTTTGATGCCCAAAAATCCTCAACTCTATCATCTCAATCTCAAGATGTATGGACATGAGAAAAAAATGATTTTAAGTCTTGGAAATAGTGCATCTTGTAATGCATTTTTTGGACCATCAATTTTCAAGATATTCAAGTGTTTATAGATCTGTTTGATCTACACTAATTTTGAAGCTTTAAATTTTATAATCAGAGATAAAAATAAATTTTCAGGCCATCATAAAGTTTATCTTTTGACTCTATTTGAAGGTGAGCCTTACTTTGATTGTTTAGGGCCTCAGCCTTATACAAGCCACCACCAACCCCTCCCCTCTCCTTTTTTCTTTCCCCAATGGAATCTAACTGTTCATGCTCTGTATGTTAGTTTAATTAGGTTACTGAGCAATGGGTGATTATAATCGTTAGACTATGATATGCACATCATTTGTGGGGCATATAATACACAAAATGAAGCATATGCTGTCCACTTTAACGATGTAAGGTTTAAAGGCAAACAATAGTTCCTGGATGAAAGTTTGTCATGGGAACTGGGTGCATATTGATCATTTGTTTTTTAACAGATGGTGGATTCCCTGCTTATGATACTTTACTCCATACACAGGACTGTATTGTATGGTTGACATTTATCTTTTTTTGCTATTTGAACTGATAAATGAGGCATCAACTCATGTATTCATGCAGAATATTCCTTTGGATTTTGTAAAGAAACATCTTCCAGATGAAAAACCAGCCATGGATCTTCTCGACCCAAGTGGGAAAAAGTGGAAAGTGAAGTACATTGTCTCAGGTGGATTTCGAGGTGGACTGAGTGGTGGGTGGGGTGCTGTTTCTTTGGGAAATAATTTGGAGGAAGGAGATGCGTGTGTATTCGAGCTCAAAGGGGATAATTTCATGGTACTTCACATATTTAGAGTGGTTGAAGAGATTGTGCCACTTACTAAGTATCCAGCATCAACATCAGAACGAAAAAGGAAATTATGGGCCTAAAATTTCTTGCTTCTTTTAATTATGAAGCAAGTGAAAGCTTTGTCTTCTGAGAGCTGGTAACAGACTTGGGCTTTTCCATTAACTTTATTTGCAGCTTGGTATTGAGAATTTGCTTCAACTTTGATGAAATGATGTCTTTAGTTTGATTTGTTGCAATTAGTTTGTCTTTTTTAGTCTTCCTCTTTGCTTGTATTTCTGGGAATAAAAAAAAATGTTACAATTCACAT